AGAGGAGCTGCGGTTCCAACCCCGCGGAGGAGCCCAGAGCCCCCCGGCGCTGCGGAGCCGCCGGGACGGCAACGCCAAACGCCGGCGCCTCTCCAGGGTCACCGAAAAGCAACGCGACTCCTCCAAAAACAGGCGGCCGAAAACTCCCAGGAGGAATTCCAGGAAGGGAAACACTCCCTGCAAAAGCAGCCCGCCTCGGAATTCCTTCAGCCTCATGGGCAATTTCCCCTGCACGCCCTCGCTGGTGGTGGGCGAGGACGGGGATTTGTGCCCGGCTTCGTCGCTGGGAGGGAAAAACTCGTGGGCGCTGTCCAAGACTCACCCGCTGTGGCGATGGCACCTGGGGGGCAGCGCCATCCCCGTGCCCCCCAGCCTCAAATTCCGCCTGGAGGGGCCCTGAGGAGCGCGGCAGAGACCGGGGACAGTTCCAGGATGGCGGCAGAGCGGGAGGTGCCGGGGGGGACCGGGCATGGGGAGCGGGGTCCCCTCCCAGCCCCGCCTGGGGAAGGGGCTGAGCGCAGCAGCCGCGCGGGGTCGTTTTGGGGAGGATTTGGGGCGGATTTGGGGCCCAGTTGGGGCTGATCTGGGGCCGAGTTGGGGCTGATTTGGGGCAGAATTTGGGGCTGATTCGGGGACGAGTTGGAGCTGATTTAGGGCGAATTTGGGGCTGATTTTGTGCCGAATTTGGGCTGATTTGGGGCCGAGTTGGGGCAGAATTTGGGGCCCAGTTAGGGCAGATTTTGGTGCCGAATTTGGGCTGATTTGGGGCCGAGTTGGGGCCGAATTTGGGGCCAAGTTGGGGCCGAATTTAGGGCCGAGTTGAAGCTGATTCGGGGCCGAGTTGGGGCTGATTTGGGGCTGATTTGGGGCCAAGTTGGGACAGAATTTGGGACCAAGTTGGGGCCGAATTTGGGGCCGAGTTGAGGCTGATTCGGGGACGAGTTGGGGCTGATTTGGGACGAATTTGGGGGCGAATTTGGGGCTGATTTTGGTGCCTGATTTGGGGCCGAGTTGGAGCCAAGTTGGGGTCGAATTCGGGGCTGATTTGGGGGCCAAATTTGGGCTGATTTTGGGGCTGATTTGGGGCCGAATTTCGACCAATTTGTTGGGCTGGTTTTGGGGCCGAATTTGGGTCGAATTTGGGCTGATTTTGGGGCCGAGTTGGGCCCGATTTGGGGCCGCGCGTGCTCGGGGATGCTGAGTTCAGGAGAAGTTTTAGGGTGAGGTTAAAACGCTTGATAGAAGCCAAATAATTCCCCAAAAACTCCGCGCGCCGCTGGAAACGAGGAGGGGAGGGGACGGTGATTCCCAGGAAAGGGATTTAGGGATGAAGCGGCTGCTGGGAAAACTGGGAATGAGCCGGGAAAACTGGGAATGAGCTGGGAAGAAGCTCCCGCCGCCCTGACCCCCGACCCCTACTCCCAAAAAAAAACCCCAAAAACCAAAAAACGATGAAATCTCAGACCTAATTTCTCCTTTTTTCACCGTTAAAATTGGATTAAACTGATAAAAAAATCCCCTTCCTTATCGGGCCGAGTGGATCCCGGTGAAAATCCCAAATCCCGGTTTTAGAGCGGTGTTTTCCAGGGGAAGGGAGGAAACGGCAACGTTTTAAAAAATCGGGAATTTCGGGAGGTCGGAAGAAATCCGGGAGGGTTGGAGAGGAAGAGACTTGGAAATTCAATTTTTTTTTTAAAAGAAAAGTGGTGGAAAAGGGATAAAAAGTGAGGGATTTATGGGATTTATCCATAAAAGGCTGCGGGCCTGGAAAAGCTTTGGATGGGGGGAAAAAGGATCCGGGAAAATCGGGAATGATCCCGGTTGGAATGCGCCGGGAATGTCCCTCCCTCCCTCCTCCACCGAGGGAATCAAATCCAGCTTGAACTTTTCCAAACCTTTGGAAATTCCCGATGGGATTTCCAGCCCTGCTCCATCAAAATCCTCAAATCTCTGCTTTGAAACGTGGAAAAAAAAATATCAAAGCAAATTTGGAGTTTTTTGGGGTTTTTTTTTGTGTTTGGGATTTTTTTTTTTGGCCTTTTTTTTCCAGGAGAAAAAATTCCCGGGATTCCCTGAGGGAATTTTTTAATTTGTCCTCCAAAATTTAGCCCTGAAAAGGAAAAAAAAAAAATTAAAATTAAAGGAAAATGGAAGGGGAGGATTGAAAGGAAAATCTTCACACGCGGCCTGCTGGATTGATCCCGGCTTTGAATTCCATCAGCGCCTTAAAAAAAATAAGGAAAAAAAGGGGAAAAAAGGGGATTTAAAAGGCCTGGAATGTTTGGAATGTTCGGGATTTGGTTTTCTCTGGAAGTGGCGGATTGGTGCTAAAAGCGGGGTTTGGTTAATTTGGGTTTTTAGCGGTTTTTTGGGGGTTAAATCGGGTTTTTTTGGGTTTTTTTTGCTCCTCCCCAGCTGAGCAGAGCAGCGGGAAATTCCCTCGCCAAAACCTTGGGATTTCCGAGCCGTTATTCCCAAAAAAATCCCCCCAAACAGCCCCAAAACGCGGCGAGAAAAGCGGATTTTAGGGGGTTTGGCCCTCTCAGCGCATCCCAGGAATCCCAAAAACCGGGGAGGTTTTCCATGGAATTGCGGGTGGGGTTAAAAACGCGTTTTCTAGAGCAAAAAAAAATAATGGAATTTTGAATAATTTGCGGGTGCGGTTGGAAAAAAAATCCCGGGATGTGCTCTGGGAATGAATATTTATATTTATATTAATAATCTTATATTAAAAAAAATCATATAAATCTATATAAATCTATTAAAAATCCCGTCTATGAGTAGAAATAGAAATATAAAAATATATAAATATAAATATTTCAATCCAGCAATCTCCGAAACCCGCAGCTCCCCCCTCAAAAAAAAAACAAAACAAAACTCAGGAATGTTTTTCCAAGGGATAAAATCACCTCGGGAATTGCGGGGGGAGCGGCCCAGATTTTTATCCCGGTGTAAATACGGCTAAAAATTCCCTTTTTCTATTAAAAAAATCCACATTTTTTGGGGTCGGGGTGTGAATATTTGTAATTCTTTGTAAATATTTGTAAGGAATTCTGTAAATCTCAATAAATTCGCTGTAAATGTTCTGTAAATATTGGAAAAGGGGGGAGGCGGTTGGGAAAAAAATAATTCAAAATACCTCAAAATTTTCCTTAAAAAGGCACCCGGAGCAGCAAAAGCAGCCAAAAAGAATCATTAAAATAAGAATTATCATCCCGATGTTAATTGTGATAATTGGTTTTGAGGTGTTTGAGGGAACGGAAGCGGCAGAAGAATAAAGAAAATAAATTTTAAATAAGAAATAGAATGAGGTGGGGGGAATAGAATGGAGTGGGAAGAAATGGAATAAAAGAAATAGAAATTAAGGAAATGAAAGGAAATGGAAATTTTTGGGCTGGGATCGCTCGGTTTGGGGTGAAAATCAACAAATCCGAGGTGGTTTTGGGGTTAAATTTCACTTCCAGGAGAGCCAAAAGGAGGGAAATTCCCTTGGAGGGGGGAAAAGGAGCAAAAAAAATGGAATTTTTGGGGTCAGTTTTGGTCCTAAAATTCATTCCTGGGTTCAGTTTTGGTTGGGGAGGGAGGAAAGCGAAACAAAAATGGGAAAAATCATGGAAAAAAATCCCAACTTTCCCCTGAAATGTTGAATTCCGGGTTTGGACTCCAGAAAAATCCCGGGGAATTGGGAATTTGGGATTCAAAAATATTCCCGTGGGAATGTCCCACGGGAGCCGGATCCGACCCCAAAACTCCCAAAGTTTGGCAGAAGAAGGGACCCAAAATCGCTTTAGGAAAGGCTGGGAAGGGATTTGGGATTTGGGATTTGGGAATTGGGATGGGAAATGTTGGAATTCTGGGAGGTTTTCCCTCAAAATAGAGAAAAATGGGAAAGGCGGCGCTAGCAGGAGCTCCTTAATTGGGATTGATTAATTGGGATTGATTGGGATTGATCCATTGGGATTGATCATTTGGGATTAATTAATTTGGATTAATCGAGATTGATCGATTGGGATTGATCGATTTGGATTGATTTAGATTGATTAATTTGGGGTAATTTGGATTGATCAATTTGGATTGATTCATTGGGATTGACTGAGATTGTTCCATTGGGATTGATCCATTGGGATTGATCGATTTGGATTTATTTAGATTGATTAATTTGGGTAATTGGGATTGATCAATTTGGATTGAGTTATTGGGATTGATTGAGATTGTTCCATTGGGATTGATTAATTGGGATAGGTTGGGGTTGATCAATTGGGATTGATTCATTGGGATGAATTCCTTTTGTGTAATTCCATGGAATCCTGGGATGGCCCTGCTCCTGCAGGAGGCCGGGAAATCCTGGAAAAACCCTTTCAATCCCTTCAAAACCCTTCAAACTCCTCAAAAATCCCTAAGAGCCCAAATCCCATGGGAATGTGGATCCCAAACCGGGAATGGGGGCTCCAAACCCAGTTCCTGCTCTTTTCCCCCTTTTTTTAGGAAAAACATCCATGGAAATCCAAGGAATCCAAGGAAAAATGAGCCCTGTTTCCAATATATTCCCTATTTTGGAAAGCAAATCCCGGGATTGGCTGGAGAACGGAGGATTGGCTCCAATATTTTTTATTTTATTTTATTTTATTTTATTTTATTTTATTTTATTTTATTTTATTTTATTTTATTTTATTTTATTTTATTTTATTTTATTTTATTTTATATTTTCCACCCCAACTTTCACTCACTTTTATTCACCATTAATTGTCATTAATTTCCATTAATTATTCTCATCGGGATGAGCTCCAGGATCCATTGGGATGAGCTCCAGGATCCATTGGGATGAGCTCCAGGATCCCATAGGGATGAGCTCCAGGATCCCATTGGGATGAGCTCCAGAATCCATCGGGATGAGCTCCAGGATACATCGGGATGAGCTCCAGGACCCATTGGGATGAGCTCCAGGATCCATCGGGATGAGCTCCAGGATCCCATAGGGATGAGCTCCAGGATCCCATTGGGATGAGCTCCAGAATCCATTGGGATGAGCTCCAGGACCCATTGCGACGAGCTCCAGGACCCATCGGGATGAACTCCAGGATCCATTGGGATGAGCTCCAGGATCCCATTGGGATGAGCTCCAGGACCCATTAGGATGAGCTCCAGGACCCATCAGGATGAGCTCCAGAATCCATTGGGATGAGCTCCAGGATCCCATTGGGGTGAACTCCAGGATCCCATTGGGATGAGCTCCAGGATCCCATTGGGATGAGCTCCAGGATCCATCGGGATGAGCTCCAGGATCCATTGCGACGAGCTCCAGGACCCATTGGGATGAACTCCAGGATCCATTGGGATGAGCTCCAGGATCCCATTGGGATGAGCTCCAGGATCCCTTGGGACACCCTGCAGGACAGGGATCCCACTGGGATGAGCTGCAGGACCAGGATCCCAACGGGACGAGCCAGAGAACGGGAATCCTGCTGTGATGTGCTGCAGGATGAAGATCCCTTTGGAA